GTTACGGGAATGCCCCAGTGTTTTTTGTTTTTAGTTGGTCTTGTTTCTGCTGAAGGACACTGACTTACCCCACTCGCAGCCTCCAACTTGGCAGAATTTTGGTGTCATGTAGGATGTGTGGTTTATTTAGTTTGCCATATATTCAAGATTTATGTTGTGTGGTTAAGTTCCATAAAAATTTACCGTTTGTAGTTGTAAGAAAACTTTGCTGTAAGGTAGAGGTTATGTTTGGATTGATATTACAGTGTTCAAAGATCCACCAAGGCATCTAAACCGTTTCTGATGTCTTAAGTATTTTGACGGTCATAGACATTACTCCTGAAGTTTCCAGACTCTTAGTGTGTAGGGACGAGTAGTAAGCTTAAAGTAATGAAATGGGATTCCCTGGTAAACACCCTCTGAGAGCACTGAAACGTGTTCTGTTCTTAGTGGCCTCCCAGTCAGCAGCATCCTCTGGAATCTGAGGGCTTGATAGTGCTCATCACCTGTTCAGGAATTCAGGATTCATGTGGTTCATATGAGAGTTCAGCTTGGATTGGAGCTTGTTAAGCACCTGTCCTTTTGTTAGTATTCAGTTAGCTAGTTTTGGAACTTTGCCATATAACTCATCTGGTTATACCAGAAGTGACAAGATATCACTAATTTAAAAACACTTGTGGCTGAACTCAGATCATGTCGCTAGAATTGTCTTGGTATGCTCTTGTTAGTTTAGAAACTAAATCACTATGGACCTTAATTTAAGTTAGGCCATAAGAAAATTCTAGTTAAGTTTTTCATTATGAATTTATCTTTTGTTTCTCAATACGATTTTGGGGGTCACGTTAGTTTTTGGTGTGTAGTACAGTGCATCTCATTGCGAGAGCACATATTTATGTCAATTCTGGTGCAAGCTGAAATGATGGGATAATCTGAGATAGTTTGCATAAGAAAAAAAATTTGTTCAGTTAACTTACCTGACACACACATAGAAAGACCAAAAATAACTTTAAAACTAGACAATATCCTGTTACTCCAGAAAATCTTTTAAAAAGTGTTCAAATTTTCTGGGTTGTTTCTTATTTGTAAGATGATAGGACTGGATTTGATGATTTTTAAAGTTCCATTCAGCTATAAAAATCTTGGCTTTAATGATTTTTATTAGATGTATGAGAAGTGTGTAGACTGTGTAACCTCTAGATTTTTATAGATTCACAGCATCATAGAATTTCTAGACCTGAAATGGCTTCAGAGATCATCTTATTTACTCCTCTTTTGCAGAAGAAGAAATTGAGGACCAAGGAGGTTTTGCATTTCAAGGTTGCAAAATTGTTTGTTGCAGAACTGAAACTATTTTCTCCTGTTTACCGTTTCCCCCTGTATTTGTGGTACTTTTAACTCATATGAAATCTAGAAAATTGGTTGAAAATTGGATTGAAATTAAATATATTACTCATTTAAGTGGAAAACCCAAGTATTATTAATGAATATTTTAAATATCAAAATTCAAATTAATGGATGATTAATGATGTTAATTACTATGTTTTTAACGGTTTTAAAAAAAATGTGTGGACTTCGAAATTTATATACATATATAAGTAAATTAAAGGAGGGCCTTAATTTGTTTAAGTAATTAATTATTAAATACCTACTATGTGCCAGGCACTGTTCTACACAATGGGGATGTGTGTGTACATATATATACATACATACATATATATATATATATATACACATACATATATATATATATATATATATATATATATATGTATGTATGTATATATATCCCCCCACTGAAAGATAAAAATCCCTTCTCTGTTGAGGGTTACGTTTTAGTAGGGAGAGACAAATAATAAACACAGTGTATCTTTTTCTTCCTTACTATGTTAGAAGGTGTTAAGTTCTATGTAAGAAAAGCAGTGTTAGGGAGGGGAATTGGAAGTGCTGGGGCACAGTGGAGGTGGGGTTGCAAAATGGTGTCTGTGCCACTGATGAGGTGAGTTTTGAGTAGACTAGGAGATGGAGTAAGTCACGCAGAAATGTGGGAAGACATTTTGGGGAATACTGAGACCAGTTTGGCTGGAGCAGTTTGTATGGGGGAGATGTTGGGCATTGGAGCAGATAAGGTCTGAGTGATGAGGAGTGGAGATGGGCCAGGGTGGGCATTGTAAGGATATTGGGTTTTTATTCCAAAAGAAATGGGAAACCACTGAAGGATTCTGAGTAACATGATCTTGTTTCTGCTGTGCCATAGTGTCCTATTACAATATTATAATTTGTAAAGCAGTTTTTAAAGACAACAAAACCCATATTATAATTTCTTTACCATGCAGCTTCTATGTACAGTTTTGAATTCTGTTTAACATAACTGTCCAATATTCAATAAAAACTAGTTGACCATTGAGTTTTCCTACTTCACAAAACAGCACAATAAAATCTTTCATAGATTGCTTTTGAATATAGTCTAGTAGTTTGTATGTGGTTTAATGGCTATATGTAGAAAACTGCGCCTTTGAGGAGAAAGGACATCAACATTTATCGAGAACATACTGCTATTCAGACAGTTTACCACTGTTATTTTATTTAATCTCCACTCCAGTGTGTGAGATAGATACTGCTACCTCCTTTTAACATAAAGTAATGAAATGGAATTCCCTGTTAACACCTTCTGAGAGCACTGAAATGTGTTCTGTTCTTAGTGGCCTCCCAGTCAGCAGCATCCTCTGGAATCCAAGTTCTTGACAGTGCTCATCACCTGTTCAGGAATTCAGGATTCATGTGGTTCCTGGAAATGGAGGGTTAGCAGTTCTAAATGATTTGACCAAGGTAAAGAGCTAGTATGTGGCAGAGCGTGGATTAGAAGCATTGTCTCTGCTTATACACTTTATCTTCTACCCCTCATCTTTAAAACAAAAACAAAAACAAAAAAAAACAAAAAAAACCCCAGCAAGCACCCTTTCAGTATATGTGTGGAATTTTCAATTAGTTTCACTCTCGTTTCTTCCCTATATTGAATAATTGTTTCCATTTATAATCAAATGATCTGATTTAAACATTTAAGTAATTGAAAAATGAAAACTTTTGGTACAGATAGTAAAAAGGTTGAAAGTAAAATTAGCTCATTGTGGTGGTGGTGGTTTTAAGTTTTAAAACAGCTGAGCTCACATGAGTCAAGTGGCTATTTTGATTATGGCCTCACAGGTTGGGTCAAGCATAATGAAAATCTGTGAGAAAGCCCCCTTTTAAGTTTCAGTATGTGTTGTGATAGTATTAGCCATGACATTTGATGAAGAGAAATAGTTCCAAACAGGATACAGTTGCTTTGTGGACACAAACAAGCTCTTGAATAACCTGCTGACTATCTAGTTTACCTAGTCACTTTAGGTGTGTATACCCCTCATCACCTAAGAAAAAGCAAAAACAGAAGGGAAAAAAGTGTCACTAAAGCATCTTTCATCACTTTGTTGAACTCATATGATTAGTACCTCATCACTGAGAGTGATTAGGCTGCTTTTTTGCTTTGGAGAATTATTAAGAGTTTTCTAAAGAATTCTATTGCATTACGCTTTTGAATCCCTCAACACTGAACAGTGTTCAGCAGCAGAGAAAAGTTGACATACAAGGCCCATTCCTTTATGTTAGGATATTTTCATTTCATTTAACATTTAGAGTGCTTATTTATTATTCATAGGATTCTGATATTTCTGGATATAGGATTTGAGTAGATACTAAATCTTAGAATTAGAAGATTTTATTTTTCAAGGATCATTCTATGAAACAAATCTCACATGACTGTTAATGCTAGTCATTATTATAAGTTCTTTAACTATGGAACTTAAAAATCTCATTTAATTCTTTCTTTGTTTTTTGTTTTGTTTTTTGCCTTAGTAATCTTTGTTAATTTGAGGTTTCTTTAGAAAAGATATATATGGAGAGGAGAAGCAAATTTAAATTAGCTCCCTTGACTGCTGCTTATTAGAAGTTCAAGCAATAAGTTTAGGAAAATCGATTGAAATATGATGGCTAATAAAGTATTTTAAGGAGGTTATTTCTATCCTATTATCGTAGACAATTAGGAACTAGTAAAAACAACATTTTAATAGTCAAAACAGTCTTCTCTAAACCAAAATCAAAATATTTATCCCATTTATATTAGTAGTCATCTTTTGAATAATAAGTCAAAGGGTGGGGAGAAGAAAAATCCTTTAAAAATCCATTAACAGAATACTCTTTAAAACCTGTGGGGAAAGTCCTTTAAAAACATACAAAGCCAGTTTGGATTTTACAAGTACACTTTCTGAAACATTTTTTTGGGGTGAATTGCCATTATATAAAACATCATTGGGTAAAATAATTACACAGTGTAG